GAATTATACTCAGGTTCAATGTTTGATAATGAATTATTCTCAGGTTCAATGTTTGATACTGAATTATTCTCAGGTTCAATGTTTAATACTGAATTATTCTCACGTAACAGATCAGGAGCCTTGGTTACGTAGGGGAAGTATTGCTTCTCCCCGCCACGATGAAGAGCATCGCCTCCTGCGTGGTCGCCGCCGTCTTTTTGCTGCACCAGCTCTCCGCTGTGTCAGGTGAGGCTGGTCTTCACAAATGAAAATTAAAAACGGCGCACCGATGGTTATATAGGTGGGTGTAGTGAATTATAGGTGGCCTAAAAATCAGTGGCCACAACATAATGCTGAGTGGCCACATCTGCCAAAAATCAGCAGTAAAACACCAATAAATCGAGAGGGTGGGGAGTACAACTTGTGTGCAATGTTGATTTATAGAAGATTTAAAGAATCGAATCATCGATGGCGTATTAAAGGCAAGTTTCATTCTTCTATTCCTGCTTGTAGGAAAATTCTATTCCTGCTTGTAAGCCAATGCAACCGTTCGCCCGAACTGCAGAGTACATGAAGGAATATGCCACTGTAATTTGTTCAGCACAATAAATTATTAGGTAGAGGATCATCCGAGATCAATAAGGAATCAAAACATCGTTCTTCGCGCAAGGCTTCAAGAATTTCGATTCCTGTTAATTTATCGAATTGGTAGGTACGAGTCAAACTGGCGACCGGAAGCACGGTGTTCATAAATTTCATGTTTTTTTAACAGTGAAGCCACTGAACATGCATGAGACAGTAAAGCCCCTAATATAAACTGAGATGCTGTCCGAAGAAAAATTTAGAAAAATTTTTTACGATGAATACATTTTCATGAAATCAAATTTTCCATATTCACACGATATATTGCCTAATTTTGTGAGAGTCTTGCATATGAGCAAACTTACTATATATGAAATACTGCGATCAGTTGAGTCTCATTCATTGTGTCAGTTAATATAATTTGTATGGATCGGTCAAGCATGCTTCATAATTTTTATCTATTTATTTTCCGCATTAATCTTCAGCCTCGTTGACATAGTCGACAGCGGTTCAATTGCCAGCAACAAGTACACGTTACGCTTTCGTATCTCGTACCTGGTCGCGCGCGCCGGCGTCGAGCAACTTATCTACTTATCCTTGCCATATATTGCTTGAAATATTTGCTTTTCGGCTAGTTNATTCTCACGTTTCAAAATCGTCATTATTCCAGTTTCGCTTTAATTTAATGAAGTTTCTTTATTAAAAGGCATTTTCTAATGTTCATGATGCAATTTTACATGCATGACTCGTATTGCACTAATGAAAGCATCTGCAATAACATCACCTTTTCTAGTTTCTACGATTTCATAATTTGAGGAAGTGTTGTGAATTTAATTCTAATTAAATTAAATTATTCTAATTAAATGATTCCACTTTAATTTAGTTCTTCATCAATTAATGATGCTTGAACGAGTGTGCGGCAAGCTTCAGCTTCCTTTTTCATATTATCTCGGGTGCATTTTTTATTATCAGCTTGCCATTGCATATTCGTCTTCATTCACTTATGGAAAATTATTAATTTTGTTATAATTAATACTGGAATTTTAATGTTTAATGAAACTATCTAATCAACGCTACTGTGTTTTTATTTGGTATAAAATGTCACGGTAGCGGACTGATAGCATTAGATGGAATTATTATTGCAATATTTCAATTGAGTTTCTCAAAACGACTCCTGTGCTTAGTCCCTTCCGATGACGCAACGAAAGTAGCTACGCTCAGCGCGGGGGTGGCCCCGGTTGACTCAGGGGAGGCCCCGGTTGACTCGGAGAAGGCCCCGGTTGACTCGGGGGAGACCTCGGTAGAATCATTAGGTACGTGTATGGGCCTGTGATAATATTTTCCTCGCACATTTTTACCATTATTTCCTGTACAACCATCCTAGAAGTGTATACGCCATCCTACGAATGTGTGATCGTATGAAATAATGTCGGCCTGGGGAAGAGTAGAGATGTATTGGTCTGGAAACTAACCTAAATCTATTCCCGTCTTCATTTGAGAGGCGGCCGCCAATAGCTCATGTATGTGCCATCGGTACCAAGTAGTTATTGGTGAGGGAAAAGTTTTCGGGAGTTGCCATCGGAAGATAGAACATAGATGGCTGGACAGTGGACACACCATCGATGAGCCAACGGTGTTTCACTTATGATTTTCGCCAATGTCCGTTAATAAATCATCGATGCTCCACCAGTAATGTTTACATGGCTTTTTGGGGTCCGCTCGGATTAGTACGAGTTGCGATTACTTGCATGGGGTGTTGCAGGAGGCGTTCTTATTGCGGTGGTGTGGGCCGCTCGGGTGATCACGAGTAGCGGTGACTTGCGTGGAACGCCATCGATGAGCCAACGGTGTTTCACTTATGATTTTCGTCAATGTCCGTCAATAAATCATCGATGCTCCCCCAGTAATTTTTACATGGTTTTTTGGGGTCCGCTCGGATTACTACGAGTTGCGATTACTTGCGAGGGGTGTTGCAGGAGGCGTTCTTGTTACGGTGGTGTGGGCTACTCGCGTAAGCATTTAACTTGAATTGTTCAATTTTCACCTATCAAAATCGTCATTATTCCCGTTTCGCTCGAACTTATTGAAGTTTCTTTATTATAAGCATTTTATAATGTTCATGATGCATTTTTACATGCATGACTGGTTTTGCACTAATGAAAGCATCTGCAATATCATCGCGCTGTCTAATTCCAATTTCCAATTGGAATTACAATTGTTCACAATTTTAGGAAGCGTTTTGGAATTATTTGAAGCGATTTAATTATGAAACAATTTTCCAGTTTTACGGCAAGCTTTGATCTATTCTTTTTTTATTTCATGTTTCATTTTGAGTTTACTACAAATGTGGTATAATATCCTGCAAATTTCTTGGAAGTTCCAATATCGAACCCCATTGAATTTATTGTTGCATATCAAACCAGTCCTTATTAAATGGTGCCTTCTAATTAAATGATGATGACAGTTCCATTTAGTTTTTCATCAATTAATGATGCTTGAATGAGTGTGCGTCAAGTTTCAGCTTCATTCTTCATATTATCTCGGGTGCATTTTATCATCTGTTTGCTATTACATGTTTGCTATTACAGTGATGAAAAATTATTAATTGTTTTAACGGTAGTGGACTGTAGTGGAAAATGTCACGGTAGTGGACTGATAGCATTGGATGGAATTATTAATTGCAATATTTCAATTGCGTATCTCAAAACGACTCCTGTGCTTAGTCCCTTCCGATGACTCAACGGAAGGAGCTACACTCAGCGCGACGGAGGCCACGGTTAAATCGCTAGGAACGTGTATGGGCCTGTGATAATATTTTCCTCGAACATTTTTAACATTATTGCCTGTGCAACCATCCTAGAAGTGTATACGCAATCCTAAAAATGTGTGATCGTATGTTGCGGGGGGAGTTCTTGTTACGGTGGTGTGGGCCGCTCACGAAATATATGACATGAATTGTTCAATTTTCACGTTTCAAAATCGACATTATCCCAGTTTCGCTTGAATTTATTGAATTTTTTTATTAAAATGTATTTTCTAATGTCCATGATGCATTTATACTTGCACGACTCGTTTGACACTAATGAAAGCTTCTACAATATCATCGCCCGTTTTAATTCCTACGATTTCATAATATTAGGAAGCGTTTTGGAATTATTTGAAGCGATTTAATTATGAAACAATTTTTCAGTTTTACGGCAAGCTTTGATCTATTCTTTTTTTATTTCATGTTTCCTAAATTTACTGAAGCGAAGTAAATTATTTTATTTTATTTCATTGTGAGTTCACTACAAATGTGACGTGGTGTCGCTACAAATTTCTTGGAAGTTCCAATATCGAAGCCCATTGAATTTAATATTGTATCTCAAACCAGTTCTTATTACATGATGCCTTTTAATTAAATCATGATTACACTTTGATTTAGTTTTCATCAATTAATGTTGCTTGAATGATTGTGCGGCAAGTTTTATCTTCATTTTTCATATTATCTCGGGTGCATTTTTATTATCAGCTTGCTATTACATATTCGTCTTCATAACGCGATGAAAAATTATTAATTATTACCGTAATTTTATTGACTCAATGAGCCTGAATTTGATCTGTTTCTTATTTTGTAGTATTTCCTTCTTATATTCCTCTTTCTGGCATTTATATCAACTTCTAAATCAAGCAAAGTTTATTTATTTACGTCTTGTTTACACAATATCGAATTTATCTTTTTTTATCGAATTTCACAGAACTCAAAATATAACCTTGCATTGCATATATCATTTCATGGATTCTCGGTGGTACACATGCACCCTTTGCATACCTTCCAATTAATTAACAATCTTCATGAAGAATTGTTTATAAGTTAGGAATGTTACAAGTTACGTATTGATATAGAAGCACGTAAAAAATTATTCATGTTTCGCTTAGTCACGAGTATATAATACACAATGAATTAATAACTGATTGGACTTAGAGACGTGTAGTGAAGTATTAGGCGTGCTACTAGAGTGAGTACCGTTTTTGGGTCACGCGGCGGCAGAGCTGTGGCAGAGCTGTGGCAGAGCTGTGGCAGAGCTGTGGCAGAGCTGCGGCAGAGCTGTGGCAGAGCTGTGGCAGAGCTGCGGCAGAGCTGCGGCAGAGCTGTGGATGAGCTGTGGCAGAGCTGTGGCAGAGCTGCGGCAGAGCTGTGGCAGAGCTGCGGCAGAGCTGTGGCAGAGCTGCTGCAGAGCTGCTGCAGAGCTAGATGTGTATAAGAGACAGCTATATCGATTGATTAACGGTTGTGGATATAAATCAAGTACAATTAACGGGC